TTTCTTATTTCTTTAGAAAAGACTATAATTCATAAGTCACAATTTAAAAAATTCCCTAAACAACTGTAATATTGTCAAAAATGTGATAAAAGGTTTTAAAACTTAAATGAAATATGATGAATCGAATTTCAGGAAGAAATACTCATTTATATTGAAAAGTTGGATGTCTGATGTGATTCTTTCCGGAATTCACAAAGAAAAGAATATTTCGAGAATTCTTTGTGAAATGGTCGCACGGAATGGAACAAAATGTGAGATTAAGCGATTAGCAACGCTATGAATGTCTTTTCACAGGATGATTCAGAATGAACGGAAAGAAGATCCGATTCACTGATGGAAGATCAACGGTTGATAGTAAATCCAAGAGGATCGATGGACGAAACGGCTTTTGAATCTCCAAAAACAAAAACTATTTGACCGGTGCTTATTATTTGCAGATTGATTTGTTCTCCTTGAATTTCTGAGAGCCTCTCGAACTGTTCGAGACTTTGACATATGTGATAGAAATTATTGAAGTGCTAGCAACTGTAATAGCAAAAAATTAGATTATCCCGTTGTATTATTTTAATCTTAATCCTGATCAATTCTGTTCACCGAGATATCGGGGTATTTTCGGACGTGTGGTAGGTACGACAGCTAAAGACTTCTCCAAGAAAGCCTAAAATAACAGCTAAGTTTAAATGCACTGCTGATCAGATGATGAATGACTGGTGCCTCCTGCCTGAAAATGTATGCTTAATCTCTCATTCCTTCTTGCTTACAGTGGCTAATACTTTTATGCACTATTAGGGTTGTAATTCTTGGACTTAACCTGACCTTGTACTTCTTTTTGTCAGGAAAAACTGTTCGAGAAAGAGTCTCATTTCATCTTCTTTCCCGCTCGTAATCTTCAGCGCGATTCTCCTCCATCATCGTTAGAACTCTTTTGTTACGGGAAATCAAAAGTAAGCTCATTTGTAGAGTGAAAAAAATACCAATCATTAATTACTGTTTGGGAGTATTGTTCTTTGAAAGAAGAAAATTTCACGGGAAATCATCGTATTTCAAGGAAAATAATAGACGTCATTAATCTGATACATTTTTGATAGACTTCGTTTGATATTCGACTGATCAATTGGCGATCAAAAAGGTCTGAAATATTTCCAAAAACTTGTTGATGTCTAAATAAGCAGTTAGCATAAAGGAATTAATAACTACCATTTTCTTGGATTCGAAATTTCTTGAACCTCCTGTTATAAAAGTAATAATAAACTAATCCTGTGCAAGCTTCAGTTACCTTCCGAAACTCTACTAATAGAACTGATCATATCATAAGACCGGATAAACCTTTATTCAAAATCTGAGACGGTCTAAATATTGGAGCATTGGAAAGTGTAAATGCTACACTGCAAGCTTAAATGAAAATATGTAAGCGACTTACCGTTAATTTCCATAAAGTGCGAATTATATTGCAACTCTTAACTTCTCTTCCTTAGCTGTTTGGATTCCCAACGAAGTCATACCTTGAATTCTCATTTTATTTCATGCCTAAATCTGTACAACAGGGTCGAATATTCATTCCATTCTCCTCTTAAATTTTAATTTTGCGGAAAGTAAATGGAAAAGAAAAATTAAATTCGAAGTACCCTCTAATCCTAAGTTTATTTGGAAATGATTTTCGAAATAACTGCTATGGTATATGCAGAAAGAATTAGGCTTATATCATAAAAGCGCATTAAGTATTAGAGGGGAACTTTACCGTACTTCAGTAAATCGATTACAATTTGCTTCCTTTTTGCATTTTATTTTCCGTTTATTCGTTCATTAGCATTTAGCCATTAGTTGACAAATAATTAGTTTGAAAGACAACTGCGCTTCACCGCCTACTTTTTCTTAAGCATATCACCGCCCCTTCTTCAGCGGTTTTGTCTTCTTTCCTCCTTCATTAGTCTCCATGTCTAAAGCAATGAATGCTTCTGTATTTGCTTAATTTCGGATCAAAATGGTGGAAAATGGGAGCATCGAATTGAACGAAGGTTTCATTCTACGCCCAGAACTCTCGATCAAATGAATGCATTACCGAGGAGAAAATCAGTTGAACAAGAGCCGAAATGAAGCTGAGGAAGCTCGGTCACTCATTCTCGAATAAAAGCTGGATAATTGGCCACTTAAAACTGACTCAGCGGGTCATTCGTCTTTATTAACTTTGTCGTTTCATCCAAGGCTAAACGGGAAGATCGACTGCAATCAGTATTAACATTATGGGATGGAATTTTGATTGGTTGTCGATACTTGCGATCTTTCCCATAGAACAATTACTGAGTGTGGGAAACGGTGTCACCGCGATGAAAAATGAGAATCCTGGTTGAAGAAGGGACCTATCGGGGCAATTTTCTAGTTTGGCTGAGAAATTGGAAACGTGAAATGACAAAGAATGCTGGCAGAAAATCGGTTCATTCTACCCGGTTCTTTCCGGTTCGGTGTGTTTGCGCGGAAGTGGCTTGAAATCCAATCCGAGCCACTTTGCTTACACCAATCTTTCAACTTCCCTACCCTTCTCCTTCTGTTACATCTCCAATAAGTAGCCTTCCGAGAATCATCTTCAGATTCAACAATGATCTTGCATCTCCGAAAGGAGTTTACTTATTCCTGTCTGATTTTTGGAGCAAGAAAACGCTCTCTTCTTCTCGACCATTCTTTTGCCTCGGCGACAATGAGAAGCACTTGAGTTAGTTGCAAAACTAATGTCTTGAATGCATGGATCTTGAAGGGACGAAGATGGACGTGGATCTCGGCTAATCAGTTCAGGCCTCTTTCTCTTCTAATCTGCTCACTTTCCTCCGCTCTCTCAGAAGAAGAGAAACACTGACAATATTGCGGCAACAAAGCTGTGCAATTATGAAGTAAGTAAGTTGGCTGGGACCTGTCACTCTCTCCACCGCGCAGTATGATGATGCCACACACTGTGGTCACGCGTTACTCTCATTCATTTCTTTCGGGAATTGAAGGTGTCAGGAAATATTCCCAATTATTTTCTTTCCATGAAGTCTTTTTCTTCCAGGAAGAATGGGAGCAGTAGCAGGAATGGAGTGAGATGTGCTGAACCGGCCGGAATAATGGTACGCTTCTTTCTTATAGCTTACAGCTTACGACAAAAGAGCAGTTAGCACTTCCAAGCAAAAAGGAAAGAGAGTGGGCAGTGATCTCTCCTCTTCTCCTCCATCATTCTTTGAAGACACGTTTGACAAATTCGTTCGTGTAAATCATTTCATTTTGAAACATTGGAGTGCCAGTGGTCAGAACGGATTCTCGATGGCACTCTTTGATGAACTCAACTCACGATAGGCAGAAACATAGGAAACTCCGATCTTTCCATAATCCGCAATCCCCAATTGAGGGAAAGTTCGCACAGGAGAGTGTTGGCACATAGCATCAGTTTACTAGGCTGATTTCAACTGTGCTGCTGGTGACACCCTCGCTTTATTGCTTCCCTCAATCTTCTTGCTTCTCCTTGTTACACAGCCAATCCATCGATCGACTGATGTCTATTTGCTTGCTTGCTTTCTTGCTTGTTTATCATTTTAGCCTTTAGGCACGAAGCGAAGTTAGAGTGTTTATTTTCTTCCATATTATTGAATATTGCTGAGGATCGATCGTCCATCCTTTCCTCTTCTGGCCACAACATGGAATAAGGAGGAGTTCTGCTCCACCATCCCTTCCATTATTACTATTGTTACATCCTAAACTGCTGGAGTAAAGGAGGAGGACGACGGGAAGGGATTCTGCCAGATGCCTTTCCTACCATTCCACTCCTAAACTTCTGAAAGGGAATCCCAAACAGCCTTGCTGCCTCAGGCCATTGCTGAGAGTGGAATTTTTGTCGCAATGAAGAAGCATGGCAGTGATCCATTATATCCATTATTTTCATCGCATAGATTCCTCGTTCTACTAGCTGGACAGTGTGAGCTGAACTTAACTCAGGTAGTTTGAGTTCGGAGATAATTTTGAAAGAAAAGCTGATATCCCTCAATATTCCCAGTTAAAAGTTGGCAGGAATCAAGAAGAATTTGTAGAGGTAAATCTGATGAAGGTAAATGATTATAGCAGTAAGTAAACCATAATTTGATTGCTTGAACCAACACGTATTGTCATTGGCTTCCTCCGCCAATTTCTCGAAGAATTCATTTATTTCAGTTCACTGTCGCATTGTTGCATGTAATCCGATTTATTTTGGCTTTCTGCGTCTTCGGTGCAGTAAAGGCCAAACGACAGACTATTTCGGAGGAGGTCAGTTTTGTTTCTTTTCTTCTGTGAGAGTTATGAGAGAGCTTCACTTATTGCATGCTGCAGCTCCTTCTACCTAAAGTGATGTGGAGATAAGAGAGGAAGTAATGATAATATGCTCTTTCAGGATCCAAATTCTCGATTCCAATGTCAGGGGTCACTTAGTGATTACGCAGCTTGTCAGTGTCGCGAGCAGGAGAGCGAATTATCTTGCATAAATGCTCAATTTGTTGATACCGATGTTTTCCTCCATGTAAATAATCTTTACAGGTATACATTGATCATCTTATCCTAGGGTTTAAACTCCATATTGAATTGTATTATTTGCGTCTCGTGCACCACTGATAAAACTTTCTTCTTTTCATTTCCAGGCATTTCCGAAAAGTGACGTTTCATGGCAATAACTTTCAAGACCTACCAGACAGTCCCTTATTTGGACAAAATGAACATGAAAATCTCGAGGTGATACTGTGAAATTTTTTTCTCATTACATGATGGAGCTTTTATTAAATTTTGAAATAGACAAATTGATGATGAATTTCTGATTTCTAACTTTGTCTTCAGATGAAACCCATATAGTTTCCGAAATCAAAGTTCCATGAACACGAATATTATAAAAAGTGAGGTCAGTTACGAGTTTGTGTTGCAGGTGCTCAACATCTCAGCAAATTACATTGTGAATTTGCATTCCAATGCACTGCGAGGGATGCCAAATTTATTGGTGCTCGATCTGAGCAATAACGAAATAGTGCTGAAAGAAGAGGACATCACTTTTCTGTCGCACACTCCCAAATTGAAGCAGGTGAGGAAATTTGAAAACAGGGGGATTTGTTATCGGAGGGGATGTGACCGGACTTCATTTCCTCCCACAGCTCCTCAACTCAGCGACACAGAAAGTATGACGTGACGTGACGTGAATCTGTCTAACTCCATGCACTTCTTCCAGCTCTATTTGAGGCGAGCATTCACACTGCTTGTCAATCGTACTGTGCAATTTTCTCTGATGATGCGAATGTTCAAGACAGTTCATTTGCAGCACCTTAATGTAATCCTTTTTTGAAATTTTAAATTGAAATATCTTATCGATGCTTGTGATTGATGTTCAATATGCTAAACTCAAAACACAAATTGATCGTATTTCGTAGTGTGTTGTGAGATTATTTCTCAGAGGAATTAGCTTTTTGAGGGCTCTTTGTCTAATATCTTCTGTTATGTGTGCATTTATAGTAGTTATAATAATACTGAAAATGAAATTGGAATTCAATACTCATTAACCAAAAACTGTTACTGCTCATGTGTTATTGCAGTACATTGATCTGAGCTACAACTATTTCACCAAACTACCCTACAATTTACCCTGTCCATTCCCTTCCTTGAGGTATCTCGATTTGCGCCAGAATTTTCTGCAAACGATCAATCTTAATACGACATGTTTACCTAAAATTGAGACTGTTGATCTCAGCAGGTAGCAATTTTCCCTTCTTCTTTTTCTTCATTCATCTTATAGTTCAAAAAAAGTAAGTAAAATGAAAAATGAACATTTTCTAAAGCATTCCCAATATCTGAAATATGCTTCAGGATATGTTGCACTTTTATTTCACAGACCTAAATCTAAAGATTTTGGCTTCAAATTTCTTGAAAGAATTGATTGTGTTATTTTTGTACTAAATTTTTTACACAGGCTCGTGTTTGATCTAAATACTCTCTGGTAATTTTGTCTGCCACACCTCTATGACTAAGTTGCAGGAATCATATCCATCAGCTGGATGAAACATTCCGAGGAGGAATCGGCAAATATGCACAGCCAAATTCGTTGTTATTAAAAAATTCATTTCATTGTAACTGTGAAAGTATTGCTTATATCGAATGGATACGCAGCACAGATAAAGTACGTGTTCCATATTCTTTGTCAGCTCAGCTGAAATTTAAATGTGAGGGAAACAACCGACTGAGTTATTAAGATTACCTTAAAGAAAGAAAGATTTCTTTCTACCTGAGCAACCAATCTTAGGAAACTTGTCGATGCTAACAATTTAATTCATCCTTGCTTTTTTGAGATTCGTGACAAGCAGCAACTTGTATGTCATCGAGCCAGTCCACCCGACTATGCTGGAGTTGAGTTAGTCAATGTACCGTTGGAAAAGTTAGATTGTACCGTATCACTTGTCCTCACACCAAATACTGGTAATACACTCTTCTCAGCAACATTTCTCCTTTTTACAGTGTTCCTCTGGTAATTGTGATACGTCGTACTGTCTTGTAAGCAACTGTAATATTCCCTTTCATATCACAGTATTGCTTTGCAGAGGGAAGGATTGCATCATTTGAAAGATACATTGCAAATTCTCTGTAGATTTTTAAGTCATTTTGATTTACTAGTAACGGTCTACAGTAGCACAATTTATCGAGTTTAAAGAATCACCATTAATATCTTTCATTCGCCGCTTCATCATTCGTGGTAATTAAGAACCAACAAGAATTCCTTCTTTGTATTGCTCTATAACTTGCATTCATTTCATAATACATTTCTCTTTAACGAGATTAATAAATTTTTATTTATATGGTCTCGAGACAGAAATAATTCACGCTAGTCTCGTTTTAAGAAACTTAACCATCTACCAAAAAATTTCAAAATTTCAAAGGTCCGTTGACATTCTGCTTCATCAGTGAAAAGCGGATACTCTGATTATAAATTTTTTGATAATCTACCAATATCACTAACTTTCGCGCTGTTCGTGAATGATCAAGAAAAGATAGTGACAGATTGCAAAACTCTGAACGATGACAGATAGCGATGACGAATAAAGTTTTGGATTAAAGTGGAAAAGTTGAAATGTTAATGTAGTTGGAATGTGGTGTGACAAGAACATAGAAAATAAGGAAATGGGAAACATGCCTCGGGAGAGGGACGACACTTTCGAAACTTTCGTAAACGAGAAGGAGGCATCAGTCACACTGGCAAATCAAAAGTTGTGGAAATGATGAATAACTGGTAAGCAGGCAGAGCAAAAAATGCTTCCACAGGCCTTTGTTTTAATGGTCCATAATGCTTCGAAATATACTCGAGGAAAAAAATCGATGAAGGTCCAGATTGAAGAAATCCATGAGAAGTTCTGAACTCCGGAAACTTTGAAGGCAAAGTTGTTTAAGGACTGACAACTGCCCATTCGTCCAACCTATCTCCAGCAACATGACAACTCCGGAATTGCCAGCCTGTCCTTTGCAACTCCATTCCACTCTTCTAATGGACAATCTCTCTTGAGCCATGCCTCAAATCAATACTGCCAGTTAACAGGAACAGTAAATGATCTGCTGATAGCCCGAAGCAGTTGTCTGTGATCCATACTGAAGACAGCTATCAGAACTGTGCAGTATTTCGTTTCTGACTCAGTGATTCAGTGATATATATCGGAGTCCTTTGAAATCATTTCTATATGATTTAAAATTAAGCATGCAAAAATCACAATTAATCAATGCAAAATCTTTTTTCATGAAAATTTCGAACAAATTCCTTATAAATGAGAAGGGCAAGTAGATTAGGTAATATAAATGTATGCATGAGAGTATAAGTAAGCTGAAAACTTAAGATCGAGCATGAAATTTTATCAGACATAGATGTGATTTGCTTTTTTTGAAAATATGAACTGATTATGTTGGAGTGGTGATCCCGGATGTATGCAAATTTTCTAAGATGAATTCCAGCAGGCACTGTTGTGTCATTACCATCATGTGCTCATTTTAAACCCTTGAGCAGAGCATATTTTCAGCGCTCGGCGTGTTTTTGAATCGTAGTTAAATGTTTGATGTGGAACTTTCCAAAATGTCCACATATTACAACGGTGCACGTGATGGAGAGATGTGTTGTGGTTTGGTTCATTATCTCTCTTTAATTGTGAATTCGATTAATCATTGTGATTAACAATCGAAGTTTCATGTCAATTTTTCCATCTTTCCTGGAAACGCTTTATCACTGCCAGTTGCAAACGACAACACGAAATTCCGATTCTTTCCTTCCTTCTCACTCAATCCTGCAGTACTTTGTGTACAAAAGTGCGTACTCAACTACCTGAAATAGAAGACGGAGCTTTCCACCGACCTTTTCTTCCAAATCGCTTTTATTTATTCAATACGGTCCTTCTGTCTAACATTTGCCAACTTTGCGAGCAATATCACTTGTCCCATCGATTTCTCTGGGTATTTGTACCAAAAGATAATATTTATCAAATCCGAATTCGCTATAACGCTGATATCGCAATTAGCACATGGGAAGAAGATGGTCACATGCTTCGACGGGTGTTATTTGAAATGCTTTGCGGTACGTTGCACTCCAGATGAACAGTAACAATGGAATTATATGTTCCAATGAATTGGCGAAGCTCTCGAAAAGGAGCAGTGATTTATTGTCAAAGAGATATTTCTATACATATATGTATATGTGAAGATGGTCATTCCACATAAAAAGAAGCCTACCTGTGAATTATACGGTGCTTGACCATGATAGGATTCAAGAACCGTCATTAATTGTACCGATTTATTTAGCAGTGATTCACGTAAAATGTTCGCAGATTTGAGTGAAATCCTGTTTTCTGCAACATGATACTTCGTTTTAAAGCGTCATATGTGAGCTTCAATTTACTGACAACTTTTTGCTTTTAATTTCGTAAGCGTTTTCCTCTGTTGATCCATCTTTATTAATGCCAATATTGCGTGGAGCAGTCTGCTCCCTTCTCGACAGCACAAAACTTGCACAGGACACTGTCAAACTTCATTTTCATGGCCTCGTGTTGCCGACAGCTGCAGAAAACTCTTTCTGGATCCGATGAGTTTGGACTGCAGGAAAATGAAAAGCAACGGCCTCCTTTTTATGTTTTCTCAGTTATTTAATTGAAATTTGCAACAATCCAAAGATTGCAATCCCATTGTCAATGATTCTCAGAAAAGTTGCTTTTGATAAGATAAATATTGAGCTTGCTAGCGATAAATGGTTCCATCCATTCCGTTACAGTTGACAAAGGAGAAGAATTCTCGATGACGCACTATACAGATGTTCCTTCCGTCAAATACCGAAATCTCGAACTCATTGCGTGCTCGATTATTGTACCGACTAATGGTCTCTTGTTCCGGTTAATAGTTGCACAGTTCTTTTACGTCTCAATCTAATTTTGGATTTCATTACTTGTACAAAGATTGGTGCAACTTAAATGTGAATGAGTGCGAGAGTGAGAGTAGAAATAAATGATTGAAATTATTTTAGTATTGCGAATTTAGCGAGAGTGACTTATTTCCACTTCGCGGGATTTTCTTCCCCGTTCTTTATGCCAATGTGGATTGGAAAGGCACGCAGACCATAAACTTGAATTAGCGTAAATGCATGTTTATCAATGGGTGCAATTATTTCGATTAAAATCGCATAATAAAAAGTTCCAGCGAGAAAAGCGATTACGGTATAATCCGAAAATTAGCCTTGCCACCCTTTTTTGATCCCAAAGTTTTACGGTTGATGTCACTCGGAAAATGCCGTAAAATCCATTTGCCCAAGTCTCAGAATGGTAATAAATAGTCATGGTATATGTTGGACGCAAATAAAGATACGAAGTCCGGGCGGAAATGTCGGTTTTGAGCAGCAGAAACAAGAGTGATTTTCATCTAAACCTGTTAATTTGAAGTGCAAAAAAAAGTTCGACAAGGAAATGGTTGTCGAATCCTTCCTTCCCACTCATCATACCACGTTGGGTTCCGGTTTATGCGAAATTGCACCTTTCAATACGCTGCCATGTAGTTTGGGAAGGGTACGTTTGGAGTTGAAATTGGTCGGACAAAGTCCCTTGAAATTTCATAAGAAATCTTTTCACTCATTTTTCTTCCAAGACGAAAGCAATCAAATAATTACGCATATTTCTATTGCGATGATTACGAATAGATGAAATTACCTCATATAGATACATTAAAGGGTGGTCGGTTCTTCTTTGAAGAGTATCAAGAGTGAGAGAGCACTGTAAGCACTGTCCTGAAGAGAGAATGTGACCGTGAAAAAGGAATTGAAAGGAAGGAATTTGAGGATGGGAAAGGAGGTAATTGCAATGTCAGCAGAGATTAAAAAATGGCGGTGATTATAATATTATAAATGTATTCGCAACTAATTGCTCCCAAAATTAACTTTTTAGTCCTTTTTCGAAATTTTGCAAAAACGAAGAAAACTAACCGCGGTTTCTTGTTTCCATTCTCAGTTCAATATTTCTCACCAATGTCTCCTCTGATAACTGACTGGTTCGAGAGAATTGCTTGCAACGATGTGGAAGCGTTGTTGGTTGCGTGCACTCATCTTGCACTCACCATACTGTTAACTTAACTTCTCTCCCTAAACACCAACGATTGCAAAGTGAACGGTCAGCAAAGGTTCAAAATATCCCCGCTGAAATGTCTTTGCTACTTTCTCAAACGATCTAAAATCCTAAACGTACCGAAACAATAGCGCACTAACAGCGGTCCTCTTTCAAACCTTTTACGAGCTAAAGTGAATACCGTAACGTTATGCAAGAGCAATTTCAAATAAAAAGGCTTTGAGGAGGAGCGTTGTTCCACAAGGATGACGCAACGGAGAAGAGAGAAAAAGTTGGGGACAGAAGCGTCACTTCGAGGACAATCTCGCTGAAGCGGTACTTGAAAAGGAAAGTGAAAAGAGAGGGAGAGAGAACAGAAAAACCTAAAGTAGCAAAGCAACAATAAAGAGGACTTTCAGTTCCTCTATTGTTCTTTGTTTAATAGAAACAGTCTCCTCTGCTGCTAGTTTGCGGCACTCTTTGAGAGGAAGAGGACCATCCAGGTGTGGATCATTTCATTATCTGTCATTCGCTACCGATGGGACTGAATGCTAAAGTCATGCCTTATCCGAGGTGATCCACCTGTCGTTCTTTAGCTCATTATCTTAACTGCTTCTTCTTTCCCATATTCACTTACTTTCTTGATGTTACCTTCAACACTGAATTCTGCTTCTATTTCAATAGTCCATTTTGGAATCTCTCCACTTTTCATTAAAAGCCGTTTCAGATGACATTCAGAATAAGGGAAAACAAAAAGAAGTAAATGAAATCATATATTGGTCAAACTGAAACGAAATGACAACAAAAAACAGACGTAATGGGCTTGGCGCCACGTTGACGCCCCAATCAATTTAAGGCCAGCTGTGCTGATCTTTTGCAAAGAAAAATATTTCTTCAATGTTCTCCTCGTGCATTTTGATTGTTGAAAGTAGGTGCTGTTTGCTGCTGGCATAATTAGCCTATAGCTGTTGGTTTATCTTCTTTTGGGGACAGAAGTCACCGATACATTTTAAATGCATACGGGAAATTTGTTGACAACAGTCTGGTTCGAGATAATAGAGGAAGAAAAGATGATGCTAAAAGGCAGCAAATAATCGGTTGTTCGATTTTTTATTATTTTGTAGCAGACCTTTGTATTCAGCCTTGATATGGCAAGAATAGCAACAATAAAAGGACTACTTTAGCAAAGATGGAATCAGCTATCCATACAAGTGTTTGGAGAGGAGGGAGGGTTCAGGTTGAGATCAGATACCATTTAGGGTATGAAATGTTAGGCTAACATTTGACGCTGAGAGTTCAACAAGGCGCCACTCCGACGACGATACTCGCAGCAGAAGAGCAGTTAGATTCATTGGTTCATGTTTCAACAGGCCTGATTCATCAATTCTACAACAACGATTACATCCACCTGTCATTTGACACGCCACACTATCTTACCACTCTTGGACAGCCATTATGAAATCTTCGACATGAAGTATACGTCACAATTGTAACATCTGAACAGGCCTATGAATATTAATTTGCCATTTTAGAATAGTTAGTGTGCGAAGAAATACATCACTGATTACCTTTGCTAATTGCGGCGCCATTAGAAAGAATCAACCTCGGTTCACTACATTCACCTGTTTTGAAACTGCAGGTTATAGGTGTGTGTGTGTGCGTGTGCTCTTTATCACTGATCTTTTTTCTTTTATCTTATCCGAAGACTTTTATCGTCCTCTCTCCTTTCACCTTTCTTATTAAGGATAGAAATTATCAATGAAAAAAAAAGTTCTGCTTCGATTTGTAAAAGTGGATGACTTCGACCGGTCGCTTGAATTACAGATTTCCGTTGAATCCAACCAAAACCGTCCCTCAGTGATACACACACGGGAAGGTGACAATCGATATTTCACGTGAATATTCTGTCTATGCCATAATAAAAACAGTAATAATAATAATAATTAATGCATTGGGTTCACAAATGCACTTAATCATTGGTAATTTGGTAATTTGAGCTAAACGAGCTCAGCAGGGCCAGAATGCGATTGAGGGCAAAAGGTCTGGAAAATGCCTTATTATGCCGGAAGTGCAGCAAAGGAAGCATGCAATATGATACAATTAATTAGTTAATAAATCACTCGATCTGCTCTTTCAGTTAGCTCCGCCATACTAATTATCGTCAATACTAATGAACGAATAACACTGGGCTGAGATTAAAATTAAATTTTCGAGCTTCATTAAGCGAGATAATTATTGGTGCCATAAAGTTACCAGCCACTTTTCGCTTACCTCAATTAAGCTCAGCTTATCAAGTTTAAATATGAGTTGAAATTAAAAATATCGGAGAGAAAGCTTCAGTTTAAAGTTAAGTGTAATTTGGGTTGAACATTACTTTTGAATGGTCAGTTGCTTACAAATTTCGTTCCCGGTTTCCAGTAACTTATCTAGGAGATTTACAATCAAAAAGATCCATTGCTTGCTTATCTTTGGCTTTTTCTTTTTTGATTTGCTAATATTCCAAATGCAATCAATGCTTGAAACAAAAATTAAAAATTAATGATGCAAGAGAGGATGAGTATTTTTATCCTGACATAGTATCAGAGCAAACAAAAACCTGAAGATGTTGGCCAAATCAACCGCGTCATGTGCACACGTCATTTATGATTGTCACAAAGTGGGATGAACGTGAGGATGACAAAATGATATTTGCACGAAGTGGACTGATGACTTCATAACATGCTAATTTGTAGACTCATTTAAACTTGATTTCTAACTTTTGATCCGGACCATCAAAAATGTACTGATTTGGCGTCAATTTGATTGTACTCAATTGATTTATCGCAGTATGCCTTCCAACTTATCAGTGCAAGCAGTAAGGTTTGGCTTATTCATTGCTTAGCATTGAGCTCCTAACTTTGTTGTTCGCACAACACATGAGTGTGTTATTTGTAAATGTTGGAAGGCTTCACGTATTTGATAATTACTTCAAAATTCACAAATTTCAATTAGTTTGCCCTTTGAAATGTATTGTGTGTGTGACGAGATAGATCGCATGTAATTCCAACGAAGATAATCAATCGGTTTCCTGTCCCGACAAGGTGTGCAACAGATTGCACATCAACTTTGCTTGACATCAGCCATCTGTCCGTTAAGAAGCGAGTAAGAGCCTTAATTTGACGGCATGTCACTATTATAGTATTCACCTTTCACTTTTAATCATCAACTACAACGTATTAGTTGTTGACATATGGAATACTGTAAAGGAGAACAGAGAATGCTGATGCTGATAAACAGGCTAGGGAATAATGATAAAATATGGTTGAGATGTGGAGCGGAGCAGTTGGCGAGTAATTTGATACCATGAATTATTAGCAGGATCTCAGTTAATGTTAAATGATTATAATCTAGCTGATGATCAAATTTTATTCCGTCTCCTCCGTCCCACTCTTCCTCATCCTACTATTACATTGCTTCATCTTTGGTGCAGTCCGGTAACTGCACATTCGTTCCAGTGAGATGGAGAGAGTTTAGGTTTCAGTAGCCAGTAATAAGTTCCAGGTCAAAGGGTAGGAGTAGCATGTGCACCTGTGTAATGGATATTGCTTACAATGGAAATAGCATAAGTCCCTCGCAACAACAACAAACAGCGAAGTGAAGTGAGAAAAAACACGGAGATGATTGGCGTTGAGAATGTAATATGATGGATATATTATATGGAGAGAGTTGTAAACAAATGGCTCTTATTAAGCAGATTGGAGGTAGATATGTTGTGTCAAGTGCTCACAATTAACAGCAATTAACAACAACGATTAGCTCAAGGTTGACACTCCTCCCACCACGTTAGCTCTGTTGCAAGTGAACCTGGAAGGAGCAAAATGAAATGCTCTCACTCAGTGGTTCTGTTCTGTTCTGTTCTGTTCTGTTCTGTTCCCTGCTTCTTCCGAACTGTACCCATCGAATTCTCTGCTTGCTAAACTGTTCCCACTGGTTCCTGGTCCGAAACAGCTCTTTCTCTTCCATGCAAAGGGAGAGGAGAAAAAAGCGGGAGACAAGGAATTCATCGGTGTGCACATTTCCTGGTCCTCGAAGTTCCGAGAACAGGAACAATTTCCTTCTTCTCTGTCCCTCTCCACAC